AAGCTGAGAGTCGGTAGGCCGATAGAATCAAGGGGCTAATTAGCCTATGCTGAAGCTCCGCGGGCCAATAAAATTACAAAAAAACACCGAACCGTTTGTTAAATTGCTGTCTCGCCTGCCCCTCGCCCACCACTATTTATTGGCAATAAATAGTGGTGCGGAGGGGCGGGGCGAGCCAGCAATTTAACAAAGGGTTCGGCCGAACCCCCTAGAACCGGCAGAATCCCACCACTGCCCGACTTTTATTCGGATGGAAGACTATTGGCAAATCTCAGAGTGGTAAACTAAAGTTGTAAACTAGACTAAAGTGGTAAACTAGACTAGAACTTCAATTCTCACCAGGCTCAAGGTTGACTCAGCCTTCCATCCTTTCTAAGGTAGGTATAATGAGGACCCAGTTTGTGGGGGCAATAAGCTGACTTTGTATAAAATATACAAAAGTATGAAGGCTATTGCTTAATGCCTTGTAAGCCGCCCTGAGTCTCCATAGAAGGGCGGCATATAAATCAAAATAAATAAATTAAAAAAAAGGCAACGTCTTATGGAGATTCTCAGTCAATCAGGTCATGGTTGTCCCAAAGCTGTTTTTTCAAAAGGCAACTGGACTTTGTTTTTTCCTCAAAGACATTTTGCTTCTCATCCAAGAAGCTTCTTCAGTTCTGACTGAATAGTGGAGGATGGAAGGATTTATATTCCTTACAGTCGTCTGGTCGTTAGCACTCTTTCTGAGAGTCGCGGAGGCCACTTGGAGGTTTATCTGTACCCTCGGGGATCACCTGAACAGTGCAAATAGGTGTGGAGCAGGGGTGGGTTCTAAATTTTTTTACTACCGGTTCTGTGGGCGTGGCTTATTTTGTGGGCATAGCTTGATGGTCATGTGACAATTCTTTAGGATTTAGCAGAGGTATTGGTCTACCAGGCTTTTAACTGCTTGCAGAGCTGTATCGATCTACCCATTTGTTTTTGCAGGCACTGGTCTACCCATTTATTTTTGCAGGCACTGATCTACTCATGTATTTTTGCAGGCACTGATCTACTCATGTATTTTTGCAGGCACTGGTCTACCCATTTATTTTTGCAGGCACCGGTCTACTCTTTTGTTTTCTTTTAACACTGATCAGCTGTAGGGTAGCCCTTTGAAGCCCCGCGGCAAGAGTTTAAACAGTTTTTCCCCTCTAGCTATCAGCTGGGACTCAGGAGGCAGCAATAGATTGGGGGTGGGGCCAAATAAAAGGTAAAAATAATGTGGGGGAGGCGGGAGGCAGGGGGCAGAACCGGTACGGTGACGTCATATCATCACCGCTACCGGCTCGGTGGAACCGGGCCGAACGGGGAGGAACCTACCACTGGTGTGGAGCCTTCTTGGAACTGCTGAAAGGACTGTGTTGTAAACAGGAAATAGGGGGTATCATTGCCTGAGAAGGCAATGACAAATCTCTTCCACAGCTACCAATAAAACGAACCATGAAGTCATCAAATATCATCTCAGCCAGACCACTGCTCAACCTTTCATTCTCATTAAGCTGTTGCTGGTTTCCTATTGATATAAGACAATCCCTATAATGTTTGACAGAGCAGGCATGTAGGAGAGGCTGAAGCACTGGTGTGCTGATAAATATTTAACAGCTTTGCCCCCTCTGTGGATGCCGCAGTGCTAGCTGCCAAACAACTGATCATGTGCTATGCGTTTGCAGCTCAACTCTGCTTTTGGCTGCTCAAAAATTTCCAAAAATTTAACACTTGGTTCACACCAGCTGATTCCATCGCACCATTGGGCTGCAGACTCCAGTGGCTTCTAAAACATTAATTTGCCTTCCTCAAGAAACAAGGAGAACATCTACAACTGCAGAGACCAGAGCAAATATATATATATATATATAGCAGCTACCTATCAAGCAGGAAGTAGCTTTGGCTGTTATCTTATCACAGTTGACTGTTTTTCATTCAAGCTTTTCCAAGCATTAAAGTCAAGTGATTGGAAACTCTCCTCTAGAGCATCAAGAAGCTGCAAAGAGGGGAAATGGGTGGCATAAAAATTTAATAAATACTTACATAAGAATATAACAGGAATGAAAAAAACTAAAACCAAGTGAAGCATAGTCCCTTATCTATTCCAAGTAAGACTACACTTGGAATACTGCATCAAGGTTTGGTCACTACAATGTAAAAAAGATGTTAAGACTCTGAAAAGAATGTAGAGATGACCAACAAGGATGATTAAGGGGTTGGAGGCTAAAACATAAAGAACAGTTACAGGAATTAGATATGTCTAGTCTGATGAAAAGCAGGATTGGGGAGACATGATAGCAGTGTCCCAATATTCTTACAAAGACGAGGAGCTCAAACTTCTTTCCAAAAAGAAAGATAAGAAACAATGGATGGAAACTGACCAAAGAGAGAAGCAACCTAGAACTTAGGAGAAAATTCCTAATGGTGAGAGCAGTCAATCAATGGAATAGCTTCCCTTCAGAAGTTGTAGGTGCTCCATCACTGGAGGCTTGAGCAGGGGGTTGGACTAGAAGACCTCCAAGGTCCCTTCCGACTCTATTATTCTATGTTATATGTTCTTTCTGATTCCTTCTGCTTCCTGGCAAAAATAAAAAAAAAAACAGCTTAGGCTGATGCAAAGCTTTCATTCAAAGGTTTAATTTGAAGGCAATTTAATTGTCCTTTCCAATGGAATCTCGTCATCTGAAATGCCTTAATTGATTCAATGCATTGAGCAATACTAGTTGCCAAGAAATGTTCTCAAAGGCTCAATGCTTGCGCTGAATTGAGGCTTTCAATAGAATCAGTTTAAAGTGTTCAAAGCAAAGACTCGGATTACTATAATTATAATTTAAATCATGATAATTTTTCCATTCTTTCCTTGAAGGTGGTGGGACCAATTTCTCTGTCAAATTGAACAAGAATAGCAAAAGCAAGAAATGTTGTGTGCTGCTTCATCTAGAGAAGATCTATTGAGAATTGTTCTTCAGGAGAACATGGAAATAGACTAGAGACAGAATCGAGTTCACATAAAGTAGTAGTAGTACCATTTTATAAACCCTTAATAAGGCCACACTCGGAATACTGCATCCAGTTTTGGTCACCATATTATAGAAAAGATGTTGAGATTCTAGAAAGAGTGCTGTTGTGGACCATGAGCAGCCTCCAGAGCTGGCAATGGAGTCAGACAGTGAGGAGGCTGGGGAGGAACATGGGCCAGTCCTGGAGTCTGTGGAAGGCCTGGATGAGGACTCTGCGTTGGAGGCAGAGGTGGGGTCAGGGTCATCTGAGTGTGATGCACAGACTCCAGAGCCCCCAGAGTCGAACAGCAGAGAGGCAGAGGAACAGGAGAAGCCTGTTCCTAGTGCACGCATGCGCTGAACTGCCAGAAGGCAAGAGCAGCTAAAGCAAAAGGGACAACTCAGGAGTAAGGTCAAGTGATGATTGGCCCCTCCCATAAGGCTTAAAAAAGAAACAAAGACACTTGGGCCTTTAGCAGGAAAGCAACATTGCTAACTCTGTTTCCAGTTGGCGTCTCTTGTTTGTTTCTGAACTTCGTGGGGCTTTGCCAAGTAAGGCCTTTGGCAGGGTGTCAAAGAAGATAAAGGTTGGTGATTATCCTGAAGGATTTCTTCCAAAGGACTTGTTTTGCAACTAATTGGGACTCAGCTGGGAATGAACATAATTCTCAGCTGTTACAATAAAATAGGTTTTTTGGGGACTAATTGTGCAATGTAAGTATTCAGTAAGCCTAGGTCACAACTAGTGCAGAAAAGAACAACAAAGATGATTAGGGGACTGGAGGCTAAAACATATGAATATGAGGGTTACAGGAACTGGGCATGGCTAGCCTAGTGAAAAAAAGGACTAGCAGTGTTCCAATATTTAAGGGGCTGCCACAAAGAAGAGGAAGTCAACCTATTTTCCAAAGCACCAAAAGGCAAGATAAGAAGCAATGGATGGAAATTAATCAAAGAGAGTAGCAACCTAGAACTAAGGAGAAATTTCCTAACCATGAGAACAGTTAACCAGTGGATGCTCCATCACTGGAGACTTTCAAGAAAAGATTGGACAGCCACTTTTTGGCTGTGACAGCCTCCTGCAGCCCTCTGCCAGCAAAAATGGAGCCCGGGGGGGGGGCCGTGGCCTCCCCGAGCTCTGGTTTTGGCTGGCAGAGGGCTGCAGGAGGCTGTCAGAGCTGAAAACAGAGCCTGGGAGGGCCCTGTGTGCCCCCCCCAGCTCTGTTTTCGCTGGCAGAGGCACTGTGGGCTGGTCTTTCACTGTTTGTAGGGCGGCCCCACGGGTCAGATCTAAGCACCAAGTACCAAGAGCCTTGGTACTACAGGGGTTTAAGGCACCCTGTTATTAAGCTTATTAAGACCAGCTGCCTGCAATTACTGCAGGGTTCGAATCTCGCCAAGGCTCAAGGTTGACTCAGCCTTCCATCCTTTCTAAGGTAGGTGAAATGAGGACCCAGTTTGTGGGGGCAATAAGCTGACTTTGTATAAATATACAAAAGGATGAAGGCTATTGCTGAGCACATTGTAAGCCGCCCTGAGTCTCCGGAGAAGGGCGGCATATAAATCAAATTAAAAAAAAAAAAAAAAAAAAAGCAGGACCAGATCCAGCCCCCGGGCCTTGAGTGTGATGCCCCTGGTATAGGGTCTCCTGCTTAAGCAGGGGGTTAGACTAGAAGACCTCCAAGGTCCCTTCCAACTCTGTTATTCTGTTATCTGTTGTTATTACTTTCTCTGTGGTGGCTCACTCACATCATGAAACACATTTCCTGCAGAGAAAGGTGCTCAAAACCCTCCTTACATCCCACGAGCAAGTAAAATTAGTGCAATCCCACCCTGCTTTTGGTATTAGTTTTACTGTGGGTATTTAGCACAGGAAGTTTGATTGTAGTACTCCAACAAGCTAAAGATATTGTTCCAATAAATAAATATTGAATATTTCGTAAGTCTCCTGCCTGCTTGGTCTTCCCCTCCCCTAGAAATTGAGCTCCATACCTTCATCGCTGTTGTCATCGACGAGGATGATCTCTTTCAAGAGGTGAGCTGGAGTGTGATTTACAGCGCTGTGAACTGAACGCAGGATGACGGAAAGCGCCTCATTGACAAAGATAAAAATAATAGAAATCTGTGGGAGATCCTTTGCGTATTTAAGCTCTTTACACCTAGAGAGACAGAGAGAAGAAGAAAGATTAGTTGAAAAGTTACAAAAAGTACAAAAACAAAGAAATATGACCAGTGGTGGGTTTCTACTGGTTTGCCCCAGTTCGGGCAAACCAGTAGCGGCGGCAATGGGAGGCTCCACCCACCTTTCCTGATGTCATCACGGATGCTCTGCGCGCTCACAGTTTCGAACCGGTAGCAAAGGTAAGTGAAACCTACTACTGAGTATGACCCATGGAGCATACCTGCCTCACCTGAAGAGGAGGAGGAGGAAGAAGAGGAGGAGGAGGAAGAAGAGGAGGAGGAGGAAGAGGGGGAGGAGGAGGAGGGGGGAGGAGGAGGAGAGGACTGAACTGAAACACAAGTAGTCCTTGATTTAGAGCAATTCATTTAGCGCTCATTTGAAGTTACAACAGGACTGGGAAAAAAAATGACTTATTACCATTTTTCCCACTTACAACCGCTGCAGCATCCCCATGATCATGTCATCATAATTCAGGTACTTGTCACCTGACTCGTATTTATGACGCTTGCAATGTGATTCGCCTTTTGCAACCTTCTGACAAGCAAAGTCAATGAGGAAGCCGGATTCACTTAACATGTCAACGTGTTACTAACCGATCAACTGCAGTTATTACGAAAATATCGTAAAATGAGGTAAAACTCCCTTAACAAATGTCTCTTCTTCTTATAGCAGCAGAACTTTTGAGCTAATTGTGGTTGTAAGTCGAGGACTGCCTGTAATTCATAAGACAATAAGCAGCCATCCAGCAATTCTGACATCCTATCCACCATGAATTTGTCTGGTCCCTTTCAAAACCAGTTCAATTGGAGCCAATAATGTCTTCGTTTTAAAACAGCGATAGCAAAAATCCTATTGTTTACTCCTGGACTGAATTCTCTGCAGTCTATTTTATTTCCATATTAATTTCCATCAGGGGAAAAAAAAAACCACTTTGATGGAAGTCTAGAAAACATTTTAAAAGCATTTTCCTTTTAAGGTATGCACTTTTAAAATGCATTTCGCTGCTCTTGTTTCAACCAAGAGTGGCATCAAAATATCCAAGTGTGAAAAGCCCAATGGAGAACTAAGTTTCTTTCCGCACATTAATCCATGAAGAACAGATCAGGACAATTCACGCTGGAATTCGCATTATATGTTATTCTTCAAGCATCTTTCTTTCACACTTTAGTGGCAAGAAACAAAGAAATCTACTCAGCCAACTGATATTTTATTTATTTTTCTGAACCGCGAGCCAAGGTGAGCTTGTTAGATTGCAATCGCAAAAGAAGTTCTTGGATCCAAATGTAGATACAGTTATATCCACTCTATCATTCCTGCTCCTTTGGAATAAACAAGAATAGCCATAAGCCAAGACCAGGAATTTATCTATACAGCATTCTAAAGCAGGGATGGGTAATCCACAGAAGACCATTTATGGCGTCCAACTGACTTTACACGGGAATAAACCAAATTTAGAATGGCATGGTCTAGGTCTAGGGAACTGGGAAGATGAGCTTGGAGAATTTATTCAGAAACCAGGTCAAAAGCAAAGACAAAATATGCAGAACCATGTTATAAGATGAGGGAGAAGGGAAAATAATACTAGATCTTCCCTGATTCCCTGGGATATGAGAGGAAGGGATGGAAAAACACAACCAGGTTTGCAAGGTTCTGTTATTATAGACAATATCAATGAAATCTAGTTGTTGTGGTCCGCCAGCAGCCTGCAGAGGTGGCAGCGGAGTCGGACAGTGAGGAGGCTGGGGAGGACAATGGGCCAGTCCTGGAGGCAGGGGAAGGCCCGGACGAGGGCTCTGCGTCAGAGGCAGAGATGGGGCCAGGGGCATCGGGGAGCGATGTGTGGACTCCGGAGCCTCCAGAGGCAGATAGCAGAGAGGCAGAGGAACAGGAGGAGCCTGTTCCTAGTGCATGCATGTGAAGAGCTGCCAGAAGGCAAGAGCAGCTGAAGCAGAAAGGACAACTCGAGAGTAAGGCCAGAAGATAATTGGCCACTCCCATAAGGCTTAAAAGAGCAGCCACGAGCTGTTGGGTTCTTTGTAGAAAAGCAATGTTGATTCCAGTGCTTCTTGTCAGCGTCTCTTGAACTTTGTGGGGGTTTTGCCAAGAAAATCTTTTGGCAGGTTATGAAAAATTTGTTTTGGACTAAGCTGAGAATGAATTAATTCTCAACTGTTTTAATAAAATAAGTTTGTTGAGGACTGAATTGTGTTTGGTAATCACTACGTGGGCCTCAGTCACAACACTAGTTTCCATTTTCTTGAGAAGTCTGTTTTCTGATCTGGATAGGCTGACATGAGTAGTGAATCTGAGAGGCTGACATGAGTAGTGAAAGTTTGCTTTAAGCTTGCAGAGACATTCTATTCATTAAACACACATACACACACACACACACACACACACACACACACACACAGTATATACAAACACTAACACCAAATAGCAATAGCAGATTTATATACTGCTTCATAGTGCTTGCAACCCTCTCCAAGCAGTTTACAGAGTCAGCATATTGGCCCCAACCATCTGGTTCTCATTTTACCAACCTCGGAAGGATGGAAGGCTGAGTCTACTTTGAGCCAATCAGGATAAAACTCCTGGCAGTGGGCAGAATTAGCCTACAATAGCAATAGCACTTAGACTTATATATCACTTTACAGTTCTTTACAGCCCTCTCTAAGCGGTTTACAGAGTCAGAATATTGCCCCCAACAATTTGGGTCCTCATTTTAACCACCTCAGAAGGACGGAAGGCTGAGTCAACATTGAGCCTTGTGAGATTCGATCTGCCAAATTGCTGGCAGACAGCAGGCAGCAGAAGTAGCCTGCAGTACTGCACTCTAACCACTCTGCCAATCAGGCAATTCAGCTTGGATCGTCAGAGGCATTTAAAAGAAAAAAGCCTCTGCCGATCAGGCAACTCATCTGGGATCGTCAGAGCCTTTTGAAAGCATTTTTTTACAACCTCTTTGCCGAAGAGGTTGTAGAAAAAATGGTTTTAAAAGTAAAAAAAAAGAATTGGCCACGCCCACCCAGTCACATTATCCCCCCCCACCAAGCCACGCCCACAGAACCGGTAGTAACAATTTTAGATTTCACCACTGCTTTCCTTGCTAATCACTTTCATAAATCATCTATCAAATGCTTTAAAGAAGTTAGACAATTGCAAATTGACAAGGGTAAGTGGCTGCCTTTGGTCCTGGATGTAGGAAAATGAAGGTGTATCTACAAAACAATTATGTATGTAAAGTAATAGCACAAAGCAAGACAAAGTTCTGGCTACAGAAAGTTTTAAACAAATGAATGGCTCAGGAAAATACTAAAATATTGGGTGAGATATTGAACATCTCTGAGCATGAGATGGATGGTATCTAAAGTTGATAAATAATTTTGAATATGAAGTCTTTGAAATTAATCTTAAAGAACAAATGGATTTTTGTTGGAAAGAAAAACAGTTTTTTGATACTGGAGACATAAGAAGATAAGCAATTTATAATGGCATTGTAAGACATTTTTGAGGAACTGCACTGGGATTTTGAATCAATAATGTCAGCTGTGTTCCCGGAAGAGATTGTTGCAGAAAAAGTGTATCGGAGAGCAACATAAAAAAGAATTTAAACAAGAATTTGTCATTAGACATAAAAAAAAAATGGATGAGGTTTTAAAGATTGAGAAGGAAATAAAAAATGACAATTGCAGACAGCAATTGGAATAATTTCTTCTTGCTGGATTTACTGAAGAGGCTGTTTAAGTTTTGGGGGGGAAATGAAGCAAGGATCAGCAATCATCTGAACAGATTAAGAGCAAGATTGTTTTACATCAAAAGAAGAAGCACAAAACTGATTTATGCGATTAGGGTAAAAATGGAATGTTATTTGAAGTGGTTTCTTTCTGGTTTAGCTGACATCTGGCCTGGAAAAAAATGTATACTGGATTTGCTTACAATTAACATTGTGTTTACTCTAGATATCCTAATCTGATAGCATTGTAGCATGGCTTTGTATCTAATTAAGTCTTTCCACTTAAAATAAGAGATATTGGTCAGCTTGTTCTCTTGAAAGGAGGAAATGTCCTTCTGTCATATTGCATTTAATCTTTTATTCATGCTAGGATACTGGAACCACTTTCTGCCTTCTAATTGTGGATTTGCTTAGACTGTAGTTAAGAGTTGAAATGTGGAATGCCGAGCTTTATCTCTGTTAATTAGTGCTATTATTTTAGGGCTCTGTCTGGACTTTTTGCTGACACCTGGACTAGAGGAAGATGCTGCTGATTGGATTTGCCTACAGTTAAGAGATGAGTTAAGGGATCAAGAGCTTAATATCTGTTAATTAAGAGGCAATAAAGAGATAGTGAAATTGTTTATATTTGTTGCAATGACTAGTAGTTGCTTTCTTGGGGTTTTTTCCTCTGATTTTGTTTTCTAGTGCCTTTTTAGTTCTTTTGTTACTTAGTTTGCATTATCTTTTATTATTTAATGAAAAATTTAAATAGAAATATTTTTTTTAAAGGTTGTATATTACAAGGTGACTCTAGGGTTCTGTCTGTCTGCCTGCCTATCTGTCTATCTTATCTATCTATATCAGAAGTTGGACAATTAATCTTCTGGCCAGTAGTTGTCATAATACAATTAATCTGAATTAGTTTAGTTTTTAGTCTTATTTTTTATGGGAATTAATGAATTGAATCAGAGAATCTGCATAATTCCCTAGGTGTCAGCAACATGCAGCTCCGGAGCCGCATGTGGCTCTATGGGCCCTCTGCTGTGGCTTCCTGTTGGGTGATCCCACCACTGGCTGGGCCCGCCCCTCGCCCTCTCTTCCCAGTCACCCCTTGCCTGGCCTGAAAAGATAAGGGTGACAGCAGGTGATGGAGAAGCAGCTGCGGCAGAGACAGAGAAATACAGAGAGGGGGGGAGATAGAAACAGAGAGGGAGTCATGTGACTGGTGGAAGTGAGTGATGTTGAGTTGGCCACACCTA